GGGCATAAAAGCAATAAAAAATCATCATTTTTTAACGGAAATTCTGATTTTCTGGCTATAAATTCTGAAATATAAAATCAAAAATTCTGAAATTTTTAGACAAGATAGATACCTTAATAACAAAGATTTGTGTGAAATTTCATTATTCTGGGTCTTCATTTACCAATTTTGTTTAATCGAGTTTAGGCTTAAGTTTAATTAATTATTTAATCTGTTAATTTTAAAATATATTTTTTGATTTTTAAATAAAAAAATTAAAAAATTTCCTTCTCCATGCTACTTCTTTTTCCTCTTTTTTTTATTCTTTTTGCCACCTTCACACAATTGCTTTTCTGTTAATTTCCTTTGAGGGCATTTTTCTAAGGCAATTTACACCTTTAAATGTATTTGCTTCTCTAGGTCAAATTGAGTGTTAAAGTGTTTTTGTGTTTTTTCCGGATTTTTGCTTTATCTTTTTAAATTTAATTAAAAAAAAGAAACATAATAATTAATTAAAGCCTCTAGGTTTTCTTTTTTTCCTTATCGTCTTTCGGATTTTAAAGCGCCACAACAGGGCGCGACATGTTTGGGCATCCGAACTTAAACTTGCTTCTAGGTTTCCCAAAACCAAGAGAGGAGGTTTTTCTCGTGTTGAAACCAATGATGAGGGAGTTCCGGAAGTGGAACCGGCAAAGGTCCAGAACCGGAACCAGCCAAATTTTGGAATTTCCGCGTCACTGGTTGGAACAACATCACCGTTGTTGGATAAATGAAGACTGGATAAAATTTGAGGAAAATTAAAGTTCGAGCCCCAAACTGTTTGCGCCACTTCATGCCGCGCCCAATTCCTATTCCCTTCCTATAATTGAAATTCTGATTTTCTGTTAATTCCTAGCAAACTTCTTTCCAATCTTCCACTAGAATTTTAAAAAATATTTTTTAGACTCTTAAAGCCTCTGTCTGTCTAGTTCAACTCCTTTTATTAGGACAAATTTGAATTTATGCCTGGCCTCGCTTTGTTTGTGCTACTGATTAGTGCCATCGTTGGCGGCAACTTTCGCACTCTTTTTTCTGATTACCTTTTACTACTACATATATTTTGCCTTATTTGTCGTATATAAACTTGAAGAGAAAATGTTCAAAACTTTTTTCTGAATTTTTTTATTTTATATTTTGTCTATTTCTTTTGGTTAATTAAATAATTCTGGTTTTTTAATTAAAAAATTCTGATTTTTGTTCTGATTTTTATTAATTCTGATTATTATTCTGATTTTTAATTCTGATTTTTATTAATTCTGATAATTTAATTTCTGATTTTTATTAACTACGTATATTCTGATTTATTTAAATACAAATTCTGATTTCTATTTCTTCTCCCCTCCTATTTGTTTATTCTGGAAATTCTAAATTCTGATTTTTTCTTAGTATTATTTTTAATATTCTTTTTTTTCTGATAATCATCAGCAAAAAAACTCGCTAATTTGTTTTTACATTTTCTCTGAAAACTTTTCTCTAATGAGTAGATGATGAGTTTGAGAATATTTGGATGATTTGTTTATTAATATTTTTATATCCTTTTTTAAAGGGATAATTCAAATTAATCTTTTTTTTTGTTTATTTAAAAATATGTAAATAAAATAATTTTAGATATTTAGTGAATAATAATTTAAATAAATTCTGATTTTTAATAAAAATTCTGATGACTATTAAAGGTAATTATGATATGTAATTTCAAGTAAATTGGTAATAAAAATTTATTGAAATTCTGATTTTAAAATTCTGGTTTTAAAATTTTGATTTTTAAATTCTGATTTAAAATTCTGATTTTAAAATTCTGACTTTAAAATTCTGATTTTTAAATGGTTTTCTAATTTAAAAATTTTATTCTAAATTCTGGTTTTTTTAATAATAAATTCTGATGACAAAATATTAATGGTAAATTCTGATTTTGTATTTTTTTCTAATTAAAATTCTGATTTTCAAATTTTACTCTAAATTCTGTTTTCTTTTAAATATAATTCTGTTTCTAAATTTCTGATTTTTTAACTTCAAAAATTCTGAAAAAATTATTTTAAATATTCTGATTTTTCAAATCCCCCTTATTTTCAAATAAAATATGCTTGGCAACCGCATAAAAATAAAAACCACTTATTATTATTACTCACAAAAAGGCGTCAGAACGGCTTTTGCAAAAACAAAATTTGAATTTTTGTTTGCATATTTTGTTTGTTGTTTGCATATTTTGTCTGTTTATTTGTTTGCGCATTTGTTGCCCTCAGATTTTTTTATTTGTTTTTCTCCTTTTTCCTCTCATTTCTCTTCCCTCTCTCTCATTTTGTAATTATGCCGAACATAAAATAAATAAATAGGTATTTTTTAGTATTTACGTAATCTGGGAAAGACAAAAATACATTTTTTTTGAATTTTAGATTGAAGCTATTTTTGCGTGTTAAGTGGCAATTTTAAATTATAGGTGGAAATAGCTTCTTCAATTGGAAAATTTTTTTCGAACGTTTACATTTATGGATTTTAAAGGAAATGGCTCGACTCGGTCGTGGGCTAACTTTTTATAGCGAGTGATATCTGGCATGAAAAGACTCATAGTTTTGGGTATAAAATCAAGAAACGAAAACTGTTTTGGTCGACGGCTCGATTCCGGCAACCATAATTCTGAAGCGATACCCTTGGATCGCTTAAAGATTTCTCGGAAAATTTTTGATTGATCCTGACTAGATCCCGAGAATAAAATAAGTTACTATGCTAATGTGCTTATTCCTTACTTTCTAATAAATTTAAGAATGTGGAGATATTTTTTTGAATATTTTTTTTTGCATGATTGGGTGCCACTTTTAAGTAAAATAGCAACCAACATAAAAAAATACCTTTGTAAAAAATATTATTGTTATAAATAAAAAAGGCTCGGAGGGAGCCAAGCCAAAGCCAACAGGTCATATTCGAATTTTTAGGCAAATTGTGAAAGGAAGAAAAAAAATATGTGATGGAATATAGAAAAGAGAGAATAAAGTAAAAAATAAAAAAATATATCTGTTGGCCAGTCTGTGAGTGAGTGAAAAAAAAGTTTTGGGGGGAAGGATCAGGCCGTGGGCTATAACTTTTTTATAGCCAAATAAGTACTACAAAAGTACCCTCAACTGTTTGGCAATATTTTTTAAAGATGTCTAGGATAAGATAAAAAGGATGAAAAGAAAAAAAAGTTAAAAGAAGAAATTTGAAAAAAATAATAATTTTTAATTGCGGACAGTCCGCAAATTTTAATTTTTGTCCGCAAATATTTTTTTGTCCGCAAATTTTTATTTTTTTCCCCCAATTTTTAAAAGACTTTTTGTTCCAAGACTCTTAAAGAGAGGTGAGGAAAATGGGCGAGGATGAAAAATATGATGAGGTGGAAGGGTGCACGTGGGTGCATAGGAAGAAACAGACATAAAATATGAAGCAATTTTTCCCATTGCTGAGAAAGAAAATATTTTTTAGAAGAAAAATTCTTTTACAAAAAAAAATTTTTATAAAAAAATTTTTGAAATTTTAATACCTTCTTCTGTTTATGACTTGGAAATTTTTGGGATTGGTTAAAAAAAAAGATCAGTGATCGAAAAAAATTTAAGTTGCTCTGGAAGCAAGCCGATATACCGCTGAACTATAACTTCGTTCAAAATTGTCGAATCTGGGATGCCTAGTATGGTTCGAGCAGCGAGCTGAATCAAACTATACCAGGGCCTACAGGATTCGACAATTTTGTGTGGCTGTGGCTAGCGGTAAATCGGAGTTGCTACCAGGGATGTCACGAGTTGGAAAAAAGTCGGTTTAGGTTTCGGATCAGGGTTTCGTGTAACCCTGTCTATCCATGGTTGTGGTACTTAACGGTAGTCTGAAGGTAGAAGACAACCCTGTTCCCTCATTTTTTCAAACTTTTACCCCTATTTTATTTTTTGCTTCCGGAATTTGTTCTACTTTTCTTTCATACACTTTTATTAATCTTCTTGTCACTTTTAAAAAACCTAATCTTAGGTATATTAAAAAAAGTTCCATCTTTCTCTCTCTCCTTTTCTAGCAGCCAATATTCAAATATATAAAAGAAAAATAAGGCAAAAAGGCTTTTTTTCTGGATCATATTGAAAGATTAATTAAGTTTTTGCTTAACGCTATTTCTCCTTTTTATATAAAAAATACTTTTTCTCTTACTTTTAAAAATAATTTATTTTTTTGGCATTCTATTTATTTTTGGCATTTTGTTTTTATTTTTTTTATTTAACTTTTAAAAGTTGTTTTATTTTTTCTTGTTGTTTCTTTATTTATTTTTTATCCTAAAATCGGTAAATTTATTTTTTCATTTAATTTTTTATCACTGATCTGAATTTGAATTTATTTTAAACTGTAAAATGTTGTCAATTTTATGCGAACTTTTCGGGTTTTCATTTAAAAAACGTTTAAAAAAATTCAGGCTTCAGATTTATCGAATTAGTCTGCTTTTATCTTTTGATTTTTTTATTTGACACAATTTTTTCTAATTTTTTCCGCAACAGATTTTTAAATTTTTACATTTATACTTTCCGATTTCGGTTATACATACACACTTGAAGCCGTTAAAGAATTGGCTATTTCGGTTTATGGCCGTAACTCTATCGATATTCTGATAATTCTCATATTATTCAAAAGGTCTCGTAATGCGGCATATTTTCCTTGATTGAACCGATCTGATCATTACAAAAAAGTTACTGACAGAAAACTGATTTTTCAAGCCCGACATCGATTATCAACCTTTTTTAAAATGCTCAGATCAGACCAATTTTGAAAAATATGAAGCATCTAGAGACATTTCAAATGAATCGATAATAAAACAAAGTTATGGCCAGTAAGCTTAGGCTGCTCCCCCATAAATTTTTGCCACATCTAAAAAATGTATGTAAAACTGAGATTCTACTCTTTTGACATTTTCTGAATATTTTAATTTGTATAATGGGATTGCAGTTACTAACATAAACGTGGATTTTATAAGAAACCCCTGGAATTCTTAAAGGGCTCTTATTATAACAAAACCTTTTTCTTGACAAAAATACACATTTTTCCCCCATATTGCACTCCTTTATCCTTAAATATTTTTTTTCTAAATTTTATCACAAATTTTGTTTTTAATTATAGAAATGAATGAATTAGAAGGGGGATGCATAATCAACACATCAACTAGAACAGCAATTCTAATAGAACATGAAGATCCCGATTCCCGTGATTCTGGTATTTCAATTTCCTCTGGCTCATCCGGCACGTCTTCTTTTTCTGATGCTTCCAATCAGGCAGTTTTATGTCGCATTTCTAAAGAAGTATGGGATTCTCCTGATGAATGCAAGGTTTTTTTGCGATTTTATATTATGGAGATAGAAGGTAAAATGGAATGTGATTTTAGCGTTTTGTTTTTTTTGTAGTAGTTTTTTTAATATTGATCTAATTTTGAAAATTAGGTAATGGGATTGCTTACTCGATTATTAGCCCTATAAGGCAGTGTAGATTTGCAATTGTTTTTTATACTGAATTTGGTTAATATTCAATTTGCTACTTGTCCCTTAAAGGGCAATCCCTAAGAATTGGGGTCCCTGCGAAAAAGATTTTAAAAATAGGAAAAAGGGTTTTCTAGGGTAAAAAATATGCTGATTACGAATCTGACATGAGCTCAAATTTTAAAAAAGTTGAATCCCGGACCGAATTTCGAATCCCGAACCCGAACCGGATTTCGAATAAGCAAAAGATAGCTTGTTCGAAAGGGATCGTCGAGCTGCTTCGATTTCTTATTTTTAGACTTTTTGCAGGGACCCCAATTCTCCGGGATTGCCCCTTAAAACCTTTGCTCTTCCATAAAAACTTTATTAGACCAATATTTTCCTTCATTTTTTTAAATAAAAATTTCCACAGAATTACTCCTTGCCAGCGGTTAAAAATCCTCATAAACATGGTCCTGCATATCGAAGTATTGGCTCAGAAACGCTTTCTTTTTTGTTGGAATCACTTTCTGAAGAGGAATTTTTGTCGAATTATGTGCTCATAGATTGCCGATATCCTTTTGAATTCAATGCTGGACATATTAAGGTTTTTTTGAAATTTTGGGATGAAATGTCTTTAAGAGAGTTTAAATTATTTTTATTTTTGGCTAAAAAATAATTTAATTAAATATAGTATTCTGTGAATGCCTACAATCTAGACGACGTCATTTCTTTATTTTTTCCAAAACAAAAAGGTCAATTCAACGAAGCTAAACGACGCATTCCTATCTTCTATTGTGAATACTCATCAGTGAGGGGTCCAAATATGTGAGTAGAAAAAAAATTCGGAGAGAGATGAGGGATATTGAAAATGAATTTAAAAAATTAAAAATTTTTGAGGGTTGCCAGTAGGTGATTACGTGCTAGTTTTGAGTCAGAATATGAGTTCAATGAGTGTGCACAGATCGCAGAATCTGCGGACAACAGGCCCCTGGTCAATTTAATTTAGAAATTGGAAATTAACATTTTTGGCCAGTTCGAATTCGGGTCTGAGATTCGAAATAAAATTTGAACTCATATCTGACTCAGCACACTTAATTACTACTGGCAAAGCTCAAAATTTACTTTTAACTGAATTTTTCTTGCCGCAAAATTGTTTGCAAAAATATTTATTTCTAACCTTACAAATTTTTCTTTTTAGGGCTGCGGCACTTCGCCAACATGATCGTATTCTAAATGAACATCGGTATCCATACATTGACTACAATGAAATCTACCTACTTGATCGAGGCTATCAGCAATTTTTTAAAGATCCGAGATTCGCAGTATGAATTTTTTTTTTAAATTTTTCCTTTTAACGACAAAAATATTTTTGATTATTTTTTACACAAGTTTTTCAGGAAACATGCCTGAATGAAATAACAGAATTAATCAAGGGCGTAGCCAGAAGGGGGAGGGCTTCTGGGAAAATGGGGAAAATGAAAAAATTTTAGGGGGGAAATGATCAGAAAAGTGATTTTTTTGGTTTACGGCCTTCTAAAATACTCAAAATTTTTGCCATTGGAGCCGAAAAAACAAAAATAAATGTGCAAAAAATTTTGTAGTCGGAACGCCAAATTAAACGCCAAAATTTTGGCGCACACCCCATTTTAGCCTCCCCCTGAAATCGACCTTCTGGTACGCCCTTGGAATTAATTGGAATCAGAATATATTTTATTCAAACTTTTAAATACCTCAAAAACTTGAAAATATTCCTGATTCTTAATATTTAAAATTTTTATTTTCCGTATAGTTTAACAACTTTTGTGAGTTTTAATATTAACAAATTTTTGTATCAAAAAAAATTTTTTTTTAATTCCTAAAAGTATTTTTTTAAGAAATTCTGTTTTCCACAATCATATGTTGAAATGAAGGATGAAAAATATGTAAAAGAGCTCGTCAACTATGACGCTCATCTTAAACGTGCCAGGAAACGGATGAAACGTCCTCAGTTGTTATATACCCCCTCTAGTCACAGGCGAGTTTCTTCTCTTCCTTTTCTCTCTAAAAATTTAAAAAATTAGTTGAAAAAATTAAATTATCTCTATTTTTTGTAAAGAATTTAAAAACCTCCTCCTCCAATTTTTCTTTTATTTTTCCGTTTCCTTTTTTTCTGTTGTAAAGTATATTGTATGAAAAAATATTGTCCAAAATTTATTTTACTCCAAAATTTATTCTATTGTAAAAGAATTGAAAGAAGAAAAAACAGCAAATAAAATTTAAAAAAAAATATTGAGGAGGAATCCTGTCGTCCCAACGTTTATTTTGGGTCGGGAGCTATCAATTCCTGAATTAAGGAGTTTATTATGTCGGTAGGATCTCTGACAATTTATACACAAAAAAAAGAACCTTTATTCAAATTAAAAATATTTGTATATTCTCAATTTTACCCTTTTTCCAATTTTTAGAGAACCTGATTCTATTTGCTGTTTTTTAAATCCCAAATTTATCCAAAAATTGTGCCGATTTTGACGAGAATAAAAATATATTAGTTTTAGACTTTATTTACAAATTAAAACATTTCCTAAATACTCCCAAACTTAACCTCAGATTAGTAGAAAGAAATACATAATAAAATGCACTAATAGAAAGAAATTCGGATTTGGGTAAATTCTAAAACACTCGCGGGCAAATGTACCTGGAACAGACTTTTCTTAACCTGTCTTTAATTAAAAAATATTTTTCGGATTTAATTTTTATTAAGTTCTGATTTGTGTGTTAATTCTGGATTTACCTAAAAACACATTTAAAATCTTATTTTAGATTTTTCTTACTCTCAAAATTTTCATATTTTTGTATGCGGTTCTATTAGTTATTCAAATCAGGGATAAGTTTTAGACCTTAAAAAAGTGTAGTCTCAAAAATGAGCCAAAAAGGAAGTGAAGACAATCAAAAATGGAGAAAATGCGGCATTTTAAAATTTTATTAATATGTACTTACAAAAACTCACATCAATTTTCAAAATCAGATATCCTAAGCTTACAAATTAGTGACTAAACGAACTCTTATGTGTTAAAAGCTTAGGACAAAAAACTTAAAAAAATATTGTAAGACAACACAAAAAAATTTTTTCAAAAACTTTATCCAATGGAAAAAACAAGCAATACAAATTATATACATACAAGCATTATAATACAAACAACACAACAATACAAAGGTGAGTTTTATATATGGGAGGCAAATGTACAACAAGAGAGAGGGGAAAATTATTGGGAGGGTTGGAGATCTATACATCTACTTCTTCATCAGTCTTCTATAGGCATTCATCTGAAGAATGAGTCGACGGCACCTCCACTTGGCGGCGGTGGAGCGCGTCCTCCTCCTCCTCCGCCCTGCTCCCAGTCGTATGGCCTCTCTGGAATCCGGTTGTTGGTGAGGTAATCCTTGAGGATTTTCATGATCCATTTGTAGTCAGGGCGAGTGTAGAACTTGAGGCTGTCGATGTGTTTGAGCACTTGGCCGAATTCTTGAGGGCAACCATCGATGAGGCTTTTGACCGCCGCTTTCCTCGTCTCCAGGTCCATGCTGGGCAGCCTTTTCTTCTTGTATTCTCCGATCTAGAAAAATAAAAATTGTTTTTATTTTACTAGCGTTTTAGGTTTGTTTACCATGTTCATGTCGCCGACATTCCCCCATGGCAGTGATCCTCTGTATATCTCGACGAGCATGTAGAACCAAGACTCCAGGTCGTCCTTGCGGGAATACTCCCTGTTGATGTGTGCTGAGATGGCTGCATAGCGTGGAGAGCCGCGGAAGTTTGAGGCCTGTCTTGGTCGACGTAGAGATCCCTAGAGAAAATTAAAAGAAAATTTATTTTTCACTCCTCTAATTTCTTACATCCTCGCGTTTGAATTTCCGCGCCATGCCAAAGTCGAGAAGATAGAGGACATCCAGCTCGTTCTCGTCCGCACGTCCAATTGCTGCGTTCGCTGGCTTGAGGTCCCGATGGAGGTAGCCGATCTCGTTGAGAGCCCTGATCGCGTTGACCATTTGCACTGAGATGCCAATTGCAGTGCCAGGTGTGAAGCGTCGACCCGGCCGTTCCTCGATCAGCTTGTCCAAGCTTTTCCCGACGAGAGCCATTCTAAAAAAATAAAATTTATTTTAGATCCGCGCCACGAAAAGTAAACTAAATTCCTTACACAATATAGTTGAAGGTGACCGATCTGCCTGATGGATCCATCTGCGTATCTCTCCCTATGTCGTGACACTTAGTGAAGTGTTTGCCCTCCTTGATTCCATGAAGGTCTTGCAGAACCTGGGCCTCCATGGCCAGCAATGGAGGGTTGGCGTTCAACGGCTCCGTCTTGAGTGCAGCGGTCAGATTTCCGTGCGTACAGAGGTAGACTGCTCCAAACGCGCCGGCTCCTAGCTTTTTGGTAATGGTCCACTTGTTGCAGCGTTGGCCTGGTTGAAGCGTTACAAGCTGTTCCTCGCCCATACTGTTGATGATGAGTGTTGTCGAACAGTTGAGTTGATGAAGGGTTGATGATTGACGCTGAAAAACAAGGCCTTTTATAGTGTTAGGACACAATTATTGTAAGCGGGGCTAAGGATAGTATAAAAGCCGTTGTCGGTGTCAGACTAGTACAGATCATACTAGCCTAGCTAGTCACTGATCCCTTCGTCTGATCCAACTTCAATTCAACCGTCGTATACACCGCTGATCAGAGGTTATTTGCTTGCTGACCATAGTGCACCACAGTTGGCGTGTAAGTGAACGTTTTGCGCAGCAACAAGGAACGCGGTCAAAATAAAGCGAAAAAGCACATCCATGCTTGGGAGACCGTACGCTAATAAAAAGACAGAACGCCAAGCACATAATAATCAGAATTAATTTTTAGAGCCTTGACCTTTAGCTTTAGTTAATCTTCTAGGAGTTGCTCTCTGTTTAAAAACACATTTAAGAAGCAAATTAAATTAATTTTTATTTTCCATTCCAAAGCATTTTTTTACTATAAAACTAATCAAAAATGTTGCTAAAATAAAAATGATAAATTATTTTCTAGTTTTTTTATATCCTTTTATTAATTCTTCTCTCTTCTAATCATGTTTTAATGAGTAAAAAAGAACAATTTTATTTAAGATTATTTTTTCCTTTTCTTAATCAAACGGTCATTTTAGTAGTTAAGCATTTCCTGTAGAGAAAAAAAGAAAAGCTTCAAAAACTTTTTTCTTTCGATTGTTGTTGCACATCTATTAAACATTAAAAATTTATTTATTTACAAATGATTGCTGCGGGGTATTCAAATAAAAATAAATTTTTATATAACGGTTTTTTGGTTGCTTCTGCCCGCTAATGGGGTCATTCAAAAAAATTATTTTTTTTTATTTAAAGCTAGTCTCTTCTCCTAAAAAAAATTTTTCTGTTTGTGATATCTATACGAACCGGTCTTTAAAAAAGCTTGGTTCCATCCTTTGCTCAACAAAGAAGAAAATAAAGGAGAAAGTGTTAGTGGCGAAAGAGATTTTTCTTGCCATTCCTCCCTCCCAAAAATTTATTTTTTTTCGTTGATTTTTTCCTTTGTTAATCTTCATTTTCTGACCTGTTCCATCCAAAAAAAACATTTCAATCTCCCTAATGGGCTAAAACACTTCTTTCAATTTATTTTTACATATTTAGTGGAATAATCATCAAATCATCACTGTTTTTAACAGAGCCTTTAAGAGAGTTCTAAAGTCTGAGAATTTTTGAAGGAATTTTTTTATTTAAATTATCAACTAAACATTAAACTAGAGAACGGACCGGGAGGAGATTTCAGGCAAAAATTTAGTTTATCGATATTTGTCGAGATATCGATCAGGGGTGTGGCATTTCGCCTTCCGTCTCTCGCCTTTCGCCTTTTTAAAATCTGTTTCGGCACATCCCTAATATCGATCTCGATTCTTGTACTACACTCCCAGACCAGTCTCTTCTAAAAACTTACCTAATTGAGAATTTTAAAAAAATTAAAAAAAAATTAAAACATAAACAATTTCTGTTTGTCTTTTTCCCCTCTTAAAAATACATAATTAAAAATACAAAAAAAATTTTTTTTAATATTTTTTTGTTGTCCTAATGCTATTTATTAATTAATATAGATTAATATCTGCACAAATTCTGATTTTAATCCTTTTAATAAAAATTAATTCTGATTTTTAAATAAACTTGAATTAATAATTCTGATATTAATTCTGTGAAAATACATTGCACACTAAAAACACATTAATAACAGAAAAATTCTGATTTCGTAAATTCTGAAAATACATTTGCGAAAACACATTAGAAACACATTAATAAAAGAGAAAATACAAAAAAATCAGAAAAATCAGAACATTATTTAAAATAACCTTTTTCCCCTTTCAAAACCCCATTTTTACAAATTTTCTTTAAAAAACTAATTTCCATACTCTAAAAACAAAAAAAAATCTCCAAATAGCTAGAGGCGTGACAAACAATAAAAAATTAAAAACAATTGTTGTTTTAACACGTTTGGAAAGATTACTATTTATTTTATTTAGGTATTTCCCTCGTAGCGTCCCGCGCGCTCTTTGATCTTGTCACCACCACTTTTTATTGCTTCCTTTATTTTTTTGCTCATCACATTTTTAGTTTTCTTTGGAGAGAAAGCTTTATCTATGTATTCCTTTCATTTTTAAATTTGAAAAAAATTTTTTTTGGCTAAAATCCAAATTAAAAAAAATTTTTTTTTATTTTTGGATGAAGTTTTGATTGTTACTAAACATTTGATTTTAAAAATAAACAAAAAATGTTTGTCCAAGAAGAAGTTTGTCCCTCTGAGACATTGTCTATTATGCATAGTTTAGTCTGGGTCTTTGCTTATTAACTCGACTCGATTCAATTTTTTTCAATTTTCGATTTTACTATGTTTAATCGAAAAATACCGACTAAACCCTTCTTCCCAGTCATAAAAAAATCTCCAAAGCTCAGCTTCCTCAGCTTTAATATGCTTTCTCTTCTCTCATTTTTATTTTATCCACCATATCTAACGATACTAAACCAACTCATTGTCAGCCTTCTTTTAAATTATTTTAAAATCTGATAATTATTTAAAAATATTTTCTTTCTAAAAAATATTTTTCTAATTACCATCCAACTTAAAACCCATCTAAAAATCAAAAAAACAAAATTAAAATTTAAAAGAAAATTTTTCCCCTATAATTCAATTTTTTTGCCTAAAAACAATTAATTTAAAGAAAAACTTGA